TCAAGAAAGGTATACGCCCGGATTGTAATCTTTCACCATACTTATGCAGTCTGTGTGCTGAGCAGTTAATCAGAGAAGCTGAATTATATGAAGAAGAACATGACATCAAGATTGAAGGAAGATTCATTAACAATCTGCTATATGAAGATAACACACCTTGCTTGCTGAAAGCAAAGAATTTTAAATACTGATGAACATTAAAGAATACAACCTTTAGTATGGATTGCATGTTAATATACAGAAAATGAAAATCTTCTTTACTGAACCAACCACTAAAGAACATCATGATTAATGGAGAAAAGATTGAAGTTGTTAAACACTTCATTTTTCTTAGATCCACAATCAATGGTCATAGAAGCAGTAGTGAAGAAATCAGAGAACATATTGCATTAGGCAAATCTGCTGCAAAAGACTTTTTTAATGTGTTAAAGAGCTAAGATACTATTGTGAGGACTAAGATGTTGTGACCCAATCCATGGTATTTACAGTAGCCTCATTTAGATGTGTAAGTTGGGCAATGGATAAGGAAGACCATAGAAAAATAGATTACATTTGAATTATGGTGTTGGCAAAGAGTATTGAAAGTACCATGTACTGCCAGAGGAACAAACAAATCTGTCTTTGAAGAAGTACAGTCAGAATCTCCTTTCAGAAGAGGATTATGAGATTTTATCTCATGTACTTTGGGCATGTCAGCAAGGACCATTCTCTGGAGGGCATCATACTTGGTAAACTGGAATGTTGGCATGAAGGAAGAAGACCCCCAACAAGATGTGTTAACACAGTGGCAACAGCAATGGATTCAAACATTTTTTTAGGATGGCACAAGATGGGACAATGTTTCAGTCTGTCATACATGGGTCTTTATAAGTCAGAACCAACTTAACAGCTTCTAACAACTCTTCTTATATATTTTACATCTCTATATTTTATAGGACTTATAGACATTATTTGGGAAAAAGATGAGGCTTTCTGCTCCCTCGATGATTTAAAGCCCGGAAACCCTATATAGAGTCACTGTGAATTGAACAGACTCTATGGCACTTGACAACAACAAACATTATTGTGCTACACAGTGTGGCACTGTGGGTTAATGCGCGGGACTGCAAAGTCAGTTTGAACCGACAAGGTTGGCAGTTCAAGCTCACCAGACACTCCTTGGAAACCCTATACAGGGTCGCTATGGGTCGGAACCAACTTGATGGCACTTAACAGCAACAAACGATGTATATTCACTCATATTTCCCTGCATTTTGCTCCATAGTGCTTTCTGTTCCTTCTTGAATTTGCATGTTTACACTTGAGATCACTTTCCTTAAGACTAAAGAGCTTTTTTTATTTGCTGATACCGCAGATAAGGAGCCCTGGTATTGCAGTCCTGAGTCCTCAGCTGCTAACCAAAATGTCTGCAGTTCATATGCCATGCTGATAAAAGTTGTGGCTCTGTGCTGTGGCAGTGCAGGTTAATGAGCTGGACTGCAAATTTGGTTTGACCGCAATGCTGGTGGTTCAAGCTTACCAGCTACTCCTCAGAAACCCTATATAGGGTCACTGTGGGTCAGAACTGACTTGACAGCACTTAACAACAACAGTTAATCGATGTCTGTAATGGTTATAGTCTTGGAAACCCTGTGGATCTCTTTTGTTCTATAAGTTAGCTATGATTTGAAATTGCTTGGCTGGCTGTAGGGTTTTTGGTTTTGTAGTACAGATCTTCTCTTGGTAAATTATGTCAACTTTTATTTGCATGAAAGACTTTTATTTTTAACACCAGTTTTAAGAAATATTTCTCTCTATATTGAATTATGTATTGTTGTAGTTATGCACTGTCAGTTCCCACTCATAGCAACACTCAGCCCAACAGAACAAAACACTTCCCAGTCCTGTGCCATCCTCACAACTGTTAGAATTGAGTTCATTATTTCTGCCACTGTATCAGTCCATCTTATTGGTGGTCTTCCTTTTTACGCTGTCCCACCACTTTACCAAGCATGATGTCCTTCTCCAGGGCTTGGTCTCTCCTGATAATACGTCCGAAGTAAGAGAGAAAAAGTCTTGCCATCTTGCTTCTAAGGAGCATTCTGGCTCTACTTCTCCTAAGGCAGTTTTGTTTGTTCTTCGGGCACTCCATGGTACTTTCAGTATATTACCAACATCATAACTCAAATACATCAATTCTTCTATGGTCTTCCTTATTTAATACCCAACTTTCACATCCATATGAGGCAATAGAAAATACCATGGCTTGGAACAGGCCCACCGTGTTCCTCAAACTGATAACATGAACACTTCAAAGAGATCTTGTGCAGTAGATCTGCTGCCTAATTCTATAGAAGAAGATTTTTTTAAAATTATTATTTCACTGATTAGCTTTGCTTTATTACATTTGTGCAAGTGTAATTTCATTTCATTCTCATGTCCATAGTTTTTTAGGAAAAGTCATTCACATGCCTTGCTATTATTTCTTTAAAGTAATGTGTTTAATCTCAAGCTGTTCTAATATTTTCTCTCTGATTTTTAATAGTTTTACCATGATGTAGCTATATGTGGTTTTAACCTTTGTGTTGCCTCAGCTTCTTAAATCTGAAGACGAATATCTTTTTAATTTATTTTGGGAAAATTTTGTTCATTTGTTCTCCCCCCGCCCCAAAAGCTTTTATTGTGACTCGAGTGATAGTTTACATTAGAGAGCATTGGTTTTCCACTCATCCATATCATATTTCATTTCATTGCAATGATTGTAATCCCCTCCATGCATCATCATTCAACAGTATTTGCATAAAATTGCATGAAAAACCCTCTGGGTTTTTGTTTTGTTTTGTTTTTGATGCGCACAAAAACACTCAGTAACATATAATCATTTAAACAACCAAAGGACACATTCTGCAAGCCTGTCTCCTGGCTGCCAGCACACAGCCTTTCACTTTCCATGAGTGTAGAGTCCTCAGCTGCTGTATATCTTCATGTCATTGTCTCTGCCTCCATATCTGGTGTTGCTGCTTCTCTGGATGTTGTTGTTGTTGTTAGGTGCCATCGAGTCGGTACTGACTCATAGTGACCTTATGCACAGCAGAACCACATTCCGTTCATGCTCTTCTCTCTTGATGGTTCCTCTGTTCCTGGAATGTAAGATTAACTACTCCCCCCTTTATGTTACAAAATTTCTACCTTTACAGTTGTGAGAATCTCAATTAGTCATGATAACAATTATTCATTATTTAATCATAAGAATCTTATCCCCATCTCCTTTCACCAGACCCATCTAGACAAGATGAAAACTATTCAGTGGGCATTCTACCTTTCCCTACACACTCAAACTACACTCTAAACTCCCTCTTGAAAACTTGTAAGCCAGCCACTTCATGCCTTAATGCACCCCACCCACCCACCCATTTTAGGTAGCCAATGTTGAAGTTGCCTGTTCTTAAAAAACCCTGTAAATTTGATCCTTGATGTGAAAACTCCTTCTCTCCCAGTTGTTATTTTAAGCTACTACATCCATAAGTATAGGTCACGTTCATCAAACTGTAGCAATTTACACTTGTTTCCTTTATCAAATTTCTTTATCTTACTCTAGTCAAGTTCTGATCATCAAGCCATCGAAGCTAGGTCAAATGGGTACTATCCACAAGTTTGGACATTCTTGTGTGTCTCCCCTCACTTCATATCATCTGGACACATCACTCTTGGCTATAGCCCACCGTGACTAGGTCGTTTGCCATGGGCTTAGGAGTCCCCACATCTCGCCACACTTCAGACCAACCAGCCCCTCCTCTTCTCTTTCTCATCTCCAGGTCGTCGGGAGTCTATGGAACATGGTTGAACTCAGCCTGTATCTTCATTGCTGCCTTTTCCCCATTTCCATTCACCAGCAGACCACCATGGTTGTCAGCAAGCTTGCATGGTGGCATTCCCTTTGAGTTACAGTCTTGGAGAGGGGTCTGTCCTGCAGGGACTTGATTGCTTGCCTTGATGGCTCCCTGACAAACAACTTGCTTGTTCTTTTAGTAGCCAGTCAGACTGTTTGGCTTTTGTTTTGTTTTTTTCTTTTTCCTGCTGGTCTTTCTTTCAAGAAGTATCTTCTATTCCTCTAGCTGCTTCTGCCTGGTCTGCATGTCCTTTCAAGTGGGAATGTCCCACGTCAGAAGGTTCTGGATGAGGCTCAGGATGCCATCTAAGGTCTTATATACTACTAAGGCTCCTCAAGATGCCTCTTTCACTGGGCCAGTTCTAGCGCCCCTTTTAGATTTTCTAATTGGTTATAGGTAAAGATGGGCTTACAAGCTTTCTGTAATCATGTTTCCCAATACTCCTTTGTATTCCAACTCAAGGGTCTATTTTACAAAAGTAAGCAAAGGAAACCAATATACATAAGATAGTCAAGCACCTTAACATTATTTCCCCTCGTTTATCCATTCAGACTATGCCTTGATCCCTGTATCATAGAACCCTGTTGTTCCAAGGTTGAGCATGCATAACTATTTATATCTGTTTCATTTAGCCCATGAAAACCTGCCTAAGTGTTCTCCTGTCTACCTTGTTCTTCCATCCCCCTCCCCCTTTTTGTATATTGCCTGCCCTGCTCACCACCTGAACTGTGATGTGTCTGTCTCCTACCTGTCCTCTACCGTCCCACCCCTGGTAACCAACAAAGTTGTCTTTTTTGTTTGTTTGTTTTTTTTAGTATTGGTATCTTTTCTTAAGCTTTTACAGTAATGGTTTTATGCAATATTTGTCCTTTGGTGACTGACTAATTTCACTCATCCTTTGCTTATTTTTTGATTGGGAAGTTTGTCTTTCCTCTTCTTAATTTATAGTGATATATATATATATATTCTGTATATTAGTCTCATATAATAGGTAGGTCCCCAACTTTTCCTCCCAGTCTATTGGTTGTTTCTTCAATGTGTAATTTTTGATGTTTGTTGTAAATGCTGTCATAGGTAGAATTAAAGTCCATTTGAGAACTTGGCATAAGTTTTCATATTTTGTTTTTACAGTGATTTCTCCTGACGACGAAGAGTGCAAACCCTTAATCATTAGAGAAGAAGAAGTACAGTGTGTTTCACTTGAAATAAACCCCTCACCTACTATTGATTCTCCTTCTATTGAGATAAAAAGTCCAAAGTGTAGAGAGGTATCTCCACAGACATCATTGAAACCAGAAGGAAACTTGGATGGTATGTTTTAATGAGCAAAATGATCTGGATTTGACTTTAAATTTCTTCTTTATAAACAAATCATCAAAGTGGTATATAAGTTTAAGTTAACACTAACTAAACACACTTCTGTTGAGTCAGTTTTGACTCATAGCAACCTTATAGGACAAAGTAGAACTTCAGAGTTTCTGAGACTTTAAATATTTGCAGGAGCAGACAGCCTCAACTTTCTCCTGCGGAACATCTGTCTGATGGATTCAAATTGCTGACCTTGTGGTTAGCAGCCTTGCACGTAACTCGCTTCATCACTAGGGCTCTATGTTTGCGTAATTCATCTCAAAACAGGTTAAATACACTTAGGCTTTTAGTAACTGCTCTTGTTTTGTATTGCTGCACAAAAATCACCCCCAAAAGTTAGTGTTAAAACACCTATAAGTAATTTATTATAGCTCATAATTTTGTGTGTCAGGAATTGACTCAAGGCATAGTGAATGTGATTTTTGTCAGGGATTAATTAGTGATATTCAGAGTGCAACTAGGCTGAACTAAAGAATCCAATATTTCTTCACTCCCATGCTTGGTATCTTGATGGAGCACAGATAGACGTACCCAGTCAAATCTCACTCTTTTGTTTTAGGGCCTAGTCATATGGTCTTTCCAAAATAGTTAAACTTCTTTCATGGTGGCTCTAAGAAAGATGGAAGCTTCCAGTTCTCTTAAAAACTAGGCTTAGACTGGCATGACATTACTTTATCGTACTCCATTGGTCAAGACAATCACAATGCCAGCCTAAATTCAAAGATAGAGAAACAGCCAACTTCTAGATAACAAGACTATTGGAGACCCTGTGACATGTATCTTTAATTTGCTGCGGTAACTTACTCTTATTCATTAGAATCATGTCTGCTATGTATATTAAGGAATTGTGCTGTAACACTGTAGGATAAGCACTTGACTGCTAACTACATGATTGTTTGTTCTAACTCACCAGTTGCTCCGTGGAAACACTATATAAGATCAGAACCAACTTGACAGCTCATAACAACAACAGGTATTTTAAAGTAGCTGTCTTAAAAGTATAATGATAGTTACTTGATAACTTAAAGACAGAAAAAAAACAAAATCCTTAGTCATTTAACTGAAACTGTATAACCTAATACAGTGGCCAGCAAATGTTTTGTAAAGGACTAGATAGTAAATATTTTAGACATTGTGGATCATATGTTTATATGTAGATGTCTAAAGTTAAGGTCAGAAGAGATTCTGAAACTTGCTCTTGAGCAAGAGAAGCTAATGCAAAGGGAAGAGATGACATAAAAGAACAGAGCAGGAAATTTCAAAGTGAAGTATTACAATGAAATGTGCAAAGACGTGGAGTTAGAAACAAAAGGAAAGAACACACTCAACATTTCTCAAGCTGAAAAAGCTAAAGAAAAAAATTCAAGCCTCAGGCTGCAATATTGAAGGATTCTATAGGCAAAATTCACGTCATCGCAATGATCATGTGAATGGAGTAAAGCCTTAAGGACCTTCATTTGCTGATGAAGCACAACTCTGAATGAGGAGAAACAGCTGGAAGTATCTATTAATAATGTGAACATGGAATGTACAAAGTATGAATCTAGGAAAATTGGAAAATGTCAAAAATGAAATGGAATGAATAAACATTGATATCCTAGGCATTAGCGAGCTGAAATGTACTGGTATTGTCCATTTTCAATCTGACAATCAAATGGTTTACTATGCTGAGAATGACAAATTAAAGAGGGATGGTGATGCATTCATCATCAAAAATAACATATCAAGATCTGTCTTGAAGTACATAGAACTTTGTGATAGGATAATATCCATATGCCTGTAAGGAAGACCTCTGATATTCATAAGGTTTTCAGTGACTAAATATTCTGAAGTAATTTGTCACTCCTACTTCCCTAGTCTGTCTTTTTCTGGAGCTCAACTGAAACCTGTCCACAATGGGTGACTCTTCTGGTATTTACAATACCGGTGGCATAGCTTTCAGAATCATTACCACTCACAAGCCACCACAGTATGACAAACTGACAGATGAACTACTTCTGAATATTTAGTCACTGAAAACCTTATGAGTAGCAGAGAAACACTGTCAGATATAATGCTGGAAAATGATCCCCTCAGGTTGGAAGGCACTCAAAATGCGACTGGGGAAGAGCTAGCTCCTCAAAGTAGAGTTGACCGTAATGACCTGAATGGAGTAAAGCCTGTGGGAGAAAAGTCCGCGGGATCTTCATTTGCTGATGG